TTTCTAGTTAATGATATAAACCTGAGTACTGTGTTGATCAAAATATATTTTCATACAGTATGATCATTCTAGTATTTCTCTTTATCGTCTATATTTAACTAAATACTTTAACAACGAACGGTGTTTGCTCATCAGTATAATAAAAAATCCAACTTCTCATTGATTCAAATATATTGTGGTCCAACTTTACTGCCACTGTCTTGTTAGGGCTAGCTAATTTTGTTTACTACACTGTATCACAAATCATGTGTGTCAGTTTGAAAATATCGGCTCGTAAATTAAAAGTAGTGAGATATGATTGCTGGATTACGCAACAGGAATTTCATTATGATAAAATTCATTGTTAATTGGTATTTATTTCATGGTTTCACACTAGGTCTGTAAATATCGTTTTTCATTTTGTTCATAACGTTAAATGAAAAAGAAGTTGCTTGTCTAAACAGTGGATTCCTTGTATTTCAACAACAGAACTCAGTTAAGGAAAGTTGAACAACCTTGGAGAACAAGTGAACACTAAGCAGATGTTCCATTTTAGTTTGGTAGTCGTCAACAGTGCTCTCACGAAATTCCTAGGGATCGAACCCAGCAGCTCGAGGTCCATCAGCAGGCTGTCTCCAGACTTCTAATGGGCTGCCACCCAATGAATTACGTTTCTCGCTTTAATTATCTTATATTGCTGTGCGAAGATCATGTGTTCACCTACCGATCAGAGTAGGTAGACTGTATTTATTAGTTAATTTATGTATATGAACGTTCGTTATATCTTGAAGATTATTAACTACTTAACTGATGGAAACTTGATTTTTGAAAGAAATTTCTCTATCATAACTCTTCTAACTTACGTCTAGAGAAAAGTTTTTTTTGAGGAAGTATCAGTATATCTATCATATTATAATGAAACTATTAATCGGTTATCGCCAGCAAATTATTTCGATGCATAAAATCATAATTGTATCCAAATTTGGCTATTAAAGTAAATTTGTGTTCATGACATTGGTACTTATGTAACAACTGTTAGTTGAAAAATCCTGTTTATGTCGTAAATTACGACGATAATTGCGTAGAGTAGTTCTTATAGTTTAATGATATTATGAAATTAAGCAAACTCAGTGTAAAGTTTTTGTACATATTTATGTGAGCAAACATAGTCTTTTTAGAACTATATATTTGTATATTCCCATGAAACATTAAATTTAGCGACCTTAATTATTAAAAAAAAAAACAGAATGTGCATAAACGCTGTGAACAAAAACACTTCAAAAGCAATCAATTTAGTAAGATATACTTGAAGATTTATTAAGCCTGATCGGGGGGCTAAAAGGAATGGTTTCGTTTCCACTTTACTCTCTGGATATTCAGTCATTATTCTGTGGGCAATAATAATAATTGTTCTATTTTTTGGATATTTTTGCAGTTTTGAAAATAAAACAAATGAATCCTGGATACACTTATTGCATCGTCAGTACTTTCTTCCTTAATCTTTGTAAAATTGTAATCAATAATAAGGAATTTTGTGAATTTCTTATGTTTTCATCGAGAGATAAATAAGATGAAATAACATGAGTTGAAGTGATGGATCGTACACTCTTACTGACTATCACATTATGCAGTGTACTACAATGGTTTGGTTAGGTAACGTAGGTTGGCACTTAGTCAAAAACATTTGAATGCCAAAATTATTTGTTAATAATATCGTGTTGTGTTCACGACAAGAAAACGTTGCGCATTCATAAAAAATTAGGAAACACATAAACACCTTAATTAGACATACTTCCTTATGTTTTATTATTATTATTATTAGAAGCTTTATTCAACATTATATTTTTGGTACAACATAGAATTCTCAGCATAAAGTATTTCAACAAGTTTCCTTTTCTTATACCTTGATCGATTGTGACGATAAATTTTGAATGATGACCAGTTAGGTGTTAGAAGTTCGGTAATCCATATTTGATTACTGTTCATTTGTTTCAATGCATATTGCCAGCCACCATGATGTCGCTGATTGTACCTTTTTGTATCCCGTATAGCGAAAGGTTGTAAACTTTTCATAAACGCGCCTGAATAGGTTGTGCGCACAATAGACATAGTGATGTGCTAAAACAAACAACAAAACAGATAACTTGATGAAATATCTAGATCGGAGGAACAGGTAGCCCAGATATTCAAGCAGGCTGCCGGTTAGTGAAGTGTTCCTTGTTAATAAGCGGAATTTAGGATCTCTTGCGTTCACCGTTATTATGCTCAACTATATTTTGAGTCTTTTTAATGGAAACCAATTTCAACTGTTCAAATTATTTAAGTAAATAATAATATTGAAATATCTTCAGCTCTTATAATCTAAGTATAGATTTAATGTCACTCTGAGCAGTTCAATCTACTTTAAAACCGAATTCGTGCGAATATATTGTTATAATTAGTTATTTGAAAAATATTCTCATTGTAAGCGATTTGAATTCAGTCAGTCAGTCAGCTACAACGTAGGACCAGGCACATATGTGCATCGGTCCAGGTTGCCATACCGCATCAGCGATTTGAATTAATAAGTAATACATTTTTCTCTTTGTTTAGGCGTAAGAGGTTTTCATCCAATCAGGTTTTATTTGCTTTGATTAGGTTCACTTTTATTAGTACATAGATATTATCTTTCATCCAAAATTATTCGTGTGGTTGATTTCTTTATTCATATCAAGAATAATTAATTATCACAGTGACAAGCCCATATTTGGAGAAAATCACAAGAAAAACTGACGTATATTTAAAGCCACATAATAAGAATAAATAGATTATGTGAACAAAACAGAAAACAAATATTTCTGTAATTTTTTTCACTTATTGTATTGGACTGTTCCGACTGAAAATTATGTCGAATTGTTTCACTCCTTTTTGTGATTGAAACTGCCTTACACAAATAAGATTATTTTGATAAACAGAAAGGGATAAACAATTTCAGACTACCATCTGTCATAGATGCCTATTAATTTTGCTGGACTTCATAGTATACCGAGATTAATTTAACTAAAAGGGGAAGTAAGGAGTCATTTTGATACGAACGGTACAAGAACAAACAAAAATAAAGAATGAACACACCTCCACAATTTCAGGTGATCTTGAACCGATGTTCATGATTTTCAAACACTGATTATATCTATCCTATAAACCATATGATGTCTGAACTTATATAATCTCTTCATGGATTGATGTTATGTTTTGGTCTGTTATTTCTTTCAACTCTTACAACTGGCGGTAGATTACGCTTAGGAAACCGAATGGCTAAACGAGTGTAACAAATGTACCCATTACTTTAGTTGATGTAGGTTCACAATAGATTTCCCAATCGTACAGGAAATGTACCTGCTGATTAGGTGGTTACGAGATGCATACTATTGAAATCTCCCAACCTACGCATGTATTCTGTCTTCGAGGGTTATATCGTCTTTCGTAAAGAAAGATACAGAATATTTCCTGAACTTTTGTAGACAGGTAAACAGCTGGGATGCTTTACCGGTGGCATAAATCATCTCAAAATCGACAAGTTGTATATACTCTCGTTGCTTTTTTACTAAACATTCGCCTCTCATGACTTATCAGATTTCCAAAATATATAAAGCGTTTGACAACCAGCTACCTTCAATCACTGTGATTAGGGATCGGCGCAGACATATTCTGAAGAGAATTTTTGTAAACTCAACAAATGTTTGATGGTTATCTGTGTAGGATTATTCTCATTTCCTTACTGAAGTGTTATACTAAGTTTGAACGGGTTAGAATAAATCTACGATTCATGGAGTTATCATTTTTGTATTAACTTTTAACCTAATTAGAGGAAAAATCTTAATGCTCTTGTTCTTTATGTTGAGACTCAAGAGATCCTCAAGACCTCTTCTCTGGTCTACACTGGATAGTAATCTTTTATCCTCCAGAAATGGCCAGTGACCTATTTCGTCTGTCGTTAAGTTAATTTGGGGATCGTGACATAAAACAATGTTTTTCTTCCAGTAATTATACTTCCGTTGTTTAGTCCTCTTATCTGACCAGCCATAGGGTTCGAAGATTGAGAGTTTTAAAATTGGTTTTAGAGAACTGCGACAGCGTTTTATTAGTTTGAATTGTTTACAACCAGTTTTTGTCACTGCTTGATCTTCATTATTAAGTTATATAAGAGGATACAATCAGAAAATGCTCTAAACTTAGGTTTGTGTGATAAACTATGTTCCTTTGTGTGAAATGGCAGCAGGCCTCAGGAAAATGGTTGTAAACGGACAACACGTCGGAAATGAATTTTTGTTTAAACCTATAGCAAACTTATCAAGATGGATGTAAAATGTTTAATTGTGTATAACATTTCGTTTTATGAGAGATATTCGTGTAATCGTTATTTGAAGAAAAATAGGGAATATATGTTACTGGTAACGGTGTATGTTGCAGAGATGGCACAATGAAATTTTATTTGCTCCAAGCATGGAGCATTTTTTCATACGAAATTACATTGTTTGCTCATAAACATAACACTTCAGAATAATTTGCTGTACTTTTTTTAAACATGAATATAAGTGATTCATGATATTTTTTGGTTGTGGTTAGATGTGGAATTCAAAATGCGTCTGTTCTTATTTGGATGCATCCTGCCACACTGACAGTAAAATTAAGTCGTTTGTAGCAGTAGTACGAAAGGACGTAATCGGAATTTAACTCTTCGTCCTTAATAAAAACCGGAATGATCCTACTGAAAAGAAAATTGGTTAGTAAGTCTAGCTAATTTGGTTTACAAAGAAACAGGAATTTTTGTGTAATGTATGCATAACATTAGAATTTTTAATTTTTATAGACTACCTGGTTTGAAGCTTCATTTTTATGGTAATCATAGAAATGTTGGGAACTGCTATCATTCAAAATGTTCTTTTAGTTGTAAATTTTATTGCTGCCTTTGATAAACTAGCCATACATTAAAATAAAGTCTCTTTGGATTCTATGTTTTATTCTTGTTTCTGTAACTACAGTTTGACCTGCGGTCATCTTCCTGTTGGTAGTAGTTGGCTCTATTTGGGTACTGATAAGGGTAACGTGAATTTCATAAGTGTTCAACGGTTCACTACATCGGGCTATGTGATTAATTGGAACAAGGCTATCGATCTGTAAGTAAAACAAATGCCAGAATAATTTTAATCCATACATGTTTGTTGTTCGGATCTTCCCACTGATGATTAAGAATGGAATTATTTAGTCTCTTTCTTGGTATATGTTCATCCTGTGCAGACTTCCTCGATAGTGTCAGTAAGTTACATGCATTCTAAGCAGAGATGGATGGTTGCTAGCAGTGGACTCAAGGATTTGCGTTTCGCCCTATTTGCGACTCGTCACTCCATTGCACAAGCCCGCGGCCACATGGATCCAGTAGCTAAGGGAGTGAATATCAACTCTGAGATGCAGCTACATCCAGCTGATGAATCCCACATAAGTTGAAAAGGATTCCACGGCTAGCCACCATCCATCTCTGCTTAATTACCAGAAAAGATAATTTTATCCATATTGTGTACGTTATCGTCAACATATTAATAACGTTTACAAGAATTCCCTGTAGTTTACCTAACTTCTAACTTTTCGAAAATGGTACCTCTAAGAGAATTGATTATGATTAACACTTGAGTAGTTGATTGGATTAATCAATGAAAAAATATTGTTGACCATCATATCGTATACAGCAATTTTATTTATGGCTTTAAGTTCAGTTTGTACGATAAGTAATTTGTGCACAATTTGTTTCAACCGGTCGTTATTAAATATATTCGGCCATACATCAGTTAAATAAGTCGTTTGATGAAGTTGATATATCAGTAGTCGTTAAAACTGTTTTATAGTTTTATCTTATTTTAAGTTTTTTATAAGTGTGCTACTAAATCGTGCATAACTTGACATTCTTCCCATGTCAGTTATTTCTTTATAAGTGTATAGAATTTAATTTTGTTATCATTTCACTTCTTGTTTATTCCATTCTTTCAGATCTCAGTCGTCGCATCCGGGGAAAGTTATTCAGATAGCTGAGAATCCTCAAGATCCTAACAAGATTCTTATTGGTTATTCTTCGGGATTTCTTGTATTATGGGATCTAAAAACCAAACAGGGTGATGCTCGTTTCAAACATACAGATGTAAGTCTGTTTTATTGTTTTATTTTCCGTTCCTAACATGATGTAATGTACATGTTTTTTTTCTCTCACGAGAAACGTAGGGCTGCCCTAAAATAACTCGAAATTGTGCTTGATTGATGGACTGTGACACCTGACCATAGTTGCTACCTTGAACGCAAGGATTAACATTACTTAAGCGAATAACAGTCCTAGACAAACAGGAATATAAAAAGTTGTATAAATTGTAGTCACGCTACTAAAATAGACATTGTATTCAGTTTCTTCGTTAACACCAATGTACTGTTTGAAGTACTTAGAAAAACGAGTAGCTCTGGAACCAGAGAAATTGTTGCTACACATACTCGATCAGATGAGTTTTCGGGTTCTTTAAAGAAGGAATATCCTTCCACGATAAGAGCAATCGGAATCAGATAACTGTCCTTGTACCTTTAGTAGCACATGACATCATCTTGTTCATAACCAATCCCTGTCTCCATCACGGAATTTTACATATACTTCCACTATCATCCCTCATTATTTGCCTTCTGCCTTTTCGAAATGTGCTCCCAGTGCTAACTATTTAAGTTCATAAATTGCTACCACAGGTCTTTTGAAACCGCACTGTTAACTACTTGTTGGAGATTTTAATATTCGAGCCCTATGTCAAATCGGACAACAGGCGTCACTAGCTATGACCTTAGTGTCTCGTGCCTTTTATATATCTTGTTTTTCCGAAAGACACATAAATGATCTAAGTGTGACCATTCACTCTATCTCAAGAAAACAAATGTAGAAAAGACTTATGTTAATAATGTCCTACTATAAATAATATTTTCTTGAACTTAGCTTTCTGGGTTCGATCTCATACCAGAAGTTTCGCCTATCGACTTCCAATACCCGTATGATATGGTCCTGGTTGGTGTAGCGGCTGACAAAATACGGTCTTCTGAGCCCCTCAAACAACAATGTTAGGATATTCGTAATGCGTTTCTCTCCCTCAAAATGCAAAATATTGCTTCAAGACTGGTCCGCATCAACTCCTAGACTCATGATGGGAAGTGAGATAGTTGAGTGCGCCTGTCGTCTTTCTTAGTTTGGGAGTCTCATCGTCCCTGGTGGGTTGGTGTCTGACGGAATTTTAGCATTATTCCAGAAAGCTTGGTTGCCTTTAGTTAACTTGCGTCTCTTACGGTGTAGGCGAGATGTCTATCTGTAGCCTAAATGGCAAGTGTACTGAGCAACAGCCCGTTGTGTAATTTGTTATGGCTGTGAAACATATTCTACGAAAGTAAAAGACACGTATAGGCTGAAGGTTTCTTCTTGTGGAATGATCGAGTGAGAATGTTGAGATTAGGCATAGAGTAATTGATCAAATCGATAAATCGGTTGATGGTAGAGTTAATCTTCACAGAATGATATAATTAGGACATGTGCTATATATGCCTAAACGCCACCTACCTCGATGTCCTGCGTTATCTTGTGTTGATGTAGGCTCGATGAAAGATAAGAGGCCAAACCATTATGTACTACAGGTCCATGAAGTCACTAACTGTCTTTCTCAGTCATGGTATTATATTCAAACTACATGGTGGTGTTCGCATGACTGTCGTAACCAATCGTCGGAGACTTTTGCTGATATGTCACAATCGTTTGAAATTGACCATTCACTCGTTATCTTCCCCTCGATCTTGAATTCCAGTATCCTTTCGTATATACCTTTCTAGTCTGTCTTTCCGAACCATATTCCTAAGGTTTAGTCTTTTTATCATTATTACTGCGTTCCTTCGATCTTTTTTTGTTATTTCTATCTTGTCATGGTCTTATGATATGGCAACTTCGGCCAACGCACGTGTGCCAAGCTCTGTGTCGATAATGTCTGCCCGTCTGGAATTTTGCTGCTCATTATGTTTAACCCATTGGTTAATTTTAATATCATGGTAATGATTTGTCTTTCAGGGGATCACTGATAATATTTACCGTTTGCTTGCTGCAAATTCTGTCCGTTAAAAATGACTGTTTTAGTGTTATTTTTCTCATTATATGGTTGGTTATAGTATCTCTGGTAGCATTTTAGCACGTTGGTCGTTGTTACATGAAAACTGTTTATTTTTTACTGTTATTTTCTATCCAGTAGTTATTTTGCTATACATTTTTTGTAGAGTTTGTATAGTGTAGTCTGGCACTGGGATGGAAAAAGTTTCCTTACTTCGCATAATAATGGTTTACTTGCAACTTGGTTAATTCGCCAACCACAACGTCCAGTTTCTGTGATCTGCCCGCATGGTAAGGTGCTTCCTTATTAAGTGAATTATTGTGATAATCCATCGCATAAAATATCATTCTCATGCTTCCTAAAGCATTGAATTGAAGTAACAGCTAAGTCGATTTGTTGCACTAATTTGAATTATTCATTTTGATTTTTTGTAGATTTAACATCGTTACAACTAGTTGTGATTTCTTTATCGTTACATACTTTTTGTAGCTAAAACAATGTTTTTCTGTGGGAAATATCAGTTTTTTTTATTGATACAATTTCTTTCGATTTCCTACCCTGAAGGATTCAGCGAAAATTTGGACTATCTTATGTTACTCTATACTTATTACTGTCATTTATCGAACCTTATGTCCTAATGAACTAAGTTAGGTTTAGCGAAACTGTAGGAAAGTTTTTTCATTTTTTTAGCTAGAGCTTTGTTTATCCTGCATATTTTTAGGCTGCCGAGATATAATATCAGTTTGAACACTTTGATCTCTATAAAGTGTATTCTCATGCCGTCTAGTTAGATTTGTAGTAACTCAGCTAAACAAGCCAATATTGGCTTCCGGAGAAGTTATAATGTGTTCATAGCTTTATTTAAGCCAAAAATGATTTTAAGTAAACTCACATATCTGTTATCGTTCTGATACTTTGTGTTGTACGAAAAAATTTACGAGGCTAGGATTTGTAGATTTCATTAACTTTATACATAAAATTTAATCTTTTTTATGTCTATCACTTGTTAGTCTAGAAGAATCACTGTCGTACTAGCTTTCGTTTTCGAAATTTTACATCACTTTTTTTGCAGTGATTCATAGCTCAACAATATTTATCTAGGGTGTATTGCTGTTAAGGATATTGATGGGATACTGTAATCGGTGAGCGAATAATATATGGTTCATTTTCAATGAGAGCTGCATATACGCATCCATGGTGCTTTTAAAAAGACAGTGACGAATTTTTTACACTTATCAGTATATTCTTATTATGATGTCATCTAAAAGTCACATTGGAAGACAGTAATTCTGATATCCAATGGTGTGAAAGGATGTTTTGAAACCTTTCAGCGGTGTATGTGATCATGGTTATTTCTAACACCAGCTACAACGTATGTCCGTGTTTCTACGATTTTTTTATAGCATGACGATGTCGCTATCGACATATCACTGATTGCCTTGTATGTTACATATGGGATTTATTATTGAAGGTAACTGCAAAAGAGTACTGCAGAAGCATGAATATTAGCTTACATAGATTGAATGTATTATTTGGTTGTTATTAGGTCTAAATTTAATTTGTTACCTCGTGAATTACCCCCTCATTTGTCGACTTCCAATCACATTAATCTATGTAAACCTCCGTTACATGGTTTAAAGTTTTTACTCGTTTGTAAAGTACCAAAGTTTGCTAATGTACAATGATATCTGGGGGCAGTTTTATGGAACAGAAAAGATAACTAAAAACTGATCAGTATTAGTTTCTCAGTAGATTTAAATTTAATTTCAGCTATTCATTCGTATTACTGAAAGTGGGCATTAGCATACAGATATAGTTCGTGATTATCATTTCCATCATTTAATTTATATGAATTTTACAAAAATTCACCTAAGTAAATGTATATATATTCAGAAATCCACAGATAACTAAATGCCCATTACTATTTACTCTATCTCATGCCAATCTCTATCATTATAAAATCAATTTCAATGAGTTTTCTTCCACGTCTTAATTTTACACTCACCATTGTTAGCATCAAATATTCTGACGGTATTTTATGTCCGCGTAATAATAATATAATAATAATAATAATAATAATAATAAAGCCTTTGTTATTCGCATTACTATTATTACTTTGATGATGACATTCTTTCGACTTTAGTTGTTGTTCAGCCATCATGCTTTTCACTGCTAATCATCATTTCCCTTAATTGTTTTTTATTGAGTTTCCATTCGTATTTATTGTCATCCACACGATCCTTACTATTATTATTATTATTTCTATTATCTTTTTTATATCTCTCAGCCCCTGGTGAAGCGGTTCCAGATGACTATATATTTTACGAACCGATACGTTTGGTAGAATGGCTGCCTACTAGAAATGGGTTAGTTCTTCACGTTTATAATGAATACGAAGGTCCTAAATGTAGAAGTGTTGCGTTTCATCGATTAAATGTTTCATTGATTCTTGGTTTGAAGTATTATATATTGGCACATTTTTGTATGTCATAACTCTACTTTGATAAACGATATATTACTTAGACAACACTAGTTAGATTACTACACCCATTTAGGCTTGTGTTGTGTTGAACCGTCCTCCAATTTATAATACCTGATTCCAACACTCGAAACTAACCTGCTAATTGAGTGAAAGCTTGACTGCTTAGCCGAATTTAAATATATATAAAAAACTCATTATAGGTGAACGTCTAGAATAGTCGAACCAGAATTCAACCAGTGGTATGTTTCTGTACCTCTTGAAAGATTGAACTAAAGCTCAACCAATACCATGCACTCGTCAACATCCATTGCCTATCATTTGGTCTCGAAAAAATATGTCTGATCACCTTACTCTTCTTGGGACGTAGCCTGCCCGCCAAGGTTCTCCAGTCAACTTTGTCCTGGACTCTTTCTCGTTGTTGATAAATACTATTCATCGTTTGATGTATATGTCTAATTTCCAGCGCCTTTTCCTTGGTTTTTCGCTTTTCAATTTGTCTTGAAGAGTCCTAGTTAGAGCTTGCATTGTGATACGGTTTTTGATAAGTTCTTTGTTTCATTAACTGGCAACTGATTTGTTTGCTACCAAAGTAGGTTATTGTTGATAGTCTCTGCCCATTAGATATGAAGTATCTAGCGTTGACATTTTTCTTAAATACCTGTATTTTTTGGTGATAGCTGTGATAGTTCTCTAAGTTTCAGATCTACTCTATGGAGTTGTTATAACGTTTATGTTGAAAATTCTAAATTTGGTCTTGTGTAACAGTTCTTTCGAGCTCCAGATATTGCTTAATTATTCTTTCACTAATGTGTATCTGTTTGATAGTATTTTTATTTATTGTTGGATACAAGTGACCAGTTGACTTAGTTGTAAAATGTTCGAGTTCCTATCATAAGTTCAAATTACACATTCTGAAAAAATCAATAAGAACAAATAATAAACATATTAAGAGCTAAATTAAACAGGTAATGTATGAAATGTAGTGGAATTACAAAACACAAAAAATCGTTTTGGTGTTGTTAAGTTCACTAAACTGCATTGTTTAATTACAGTATTTTTGCTGTGCTTGTGGAAAACATCAGTAATTTGTGTAGAAGTGAGCTTCTTAGTTATTGCACCAGGAGTAAATCAATTCGTCCTGTTGATCTTGTTTTTTCTATAAGTTTCGTTGTCCTCATTCGTCCTTGTACTCAAAGTGTCTTAGTCAATCGGGCTTTCTCCATGTAGTTGATTGACATTTTCCTTATAAGATGATAGATACGATTTGTGTTAGTTTTCCATTTGATTCCCGATTGGTCTGGGTTCCACGCTTCCAGAAATTTTCTATAGTACTTCTATTTCTGTCAGTCCAGAATATTGACGTTTTCATAGTCAAATTCATATATATAGTTTTCTATATGGATTAATATCACGGGTAACGTGTCGTATCGTTCTTACTATAATCTCTCTGTATCTTCACAACAAAAACCAAAACTATATACACAGTTTAATTGTCAGCTCATTTATTCATTGACAGTTATAATAGTAATACCAGTGCTTGCTAAGCTTTCGTCAATGTCCTTAAAATGATTTCTACTTTTTTGTTTCCATTCGAAAAGAAACCAAATGAACTCTCTCTTCCGTTAGTTGTAGGTACATTTTGACCTAGTCAGATGAAACAATTAAAATAACTGAAAACAATGATTTTTTTTAAAATTTCGTATGCATATACTCAAAGTAATAGAGGAATTATGTGATATTTTTGCTAGCCTAAACGGGATATAAATTGTTTTTAGTTTAATTTATTTACCATCATTTTATCATTCTTCTCTCAAAAACAAAACCTTCAGTGAGTTAATAAATGGATGTTTTTTTTTAAAATGTATATTTTGATTTTATCTTCTGCCATCATATTACAAAACAAATGGTGTTGTTTCAAAGTTTCTTTTCAAGTATCTAACAGTTTATTCTTCCTTCTGTTATTCACTAAGGTTGTTAGTTTATTAGATTATAAAAGTTCAAGAAAATCTACTGTTCATCTTGCTTCTTGAGTTTTTCTACTGTTATTATTATTTTATATTTATTTCGCTTTATAGACAACTCAAAAAGTAACATAATTAATGTTGATTTCGACTAATGAGGATTGTGTTACGTTGGTAATGTGTATGTATCCCCAGGAGATTGAAATTTGTTCGATCTAAGGCCATTAGTTTAAACTTTATAGCTATATTATTCTCTATGGTAGTTTGCAATTAGTAAAACTTAAGTTTCCTAGGCAAAAATATAAAAACACTATAAGTTGAACTGAACTTAAATCTTTAGTGTGACTTAGAAATTTAAATACGCAAGTAAATTCACTGCAAAATGTAGATAAGCTTTTATATATGAAGACCGTTTGTTATTAGTGTCAAATTTTATAGAAACAATTTTCAACAAAGGTGGCCTACTTGAATATCTGGGTTACCTGTTTCTCTCATCTAGATATTTCAACAATTTGTATTTTTGTTTGTTTTAACACATTATTATGTCTATCAGTCTCGTAACCTATTCAGGCGCACTTATGAAAAGTTTGCGACTCATCGCTTTAGAATTTACAAAAAAGTACAGAGAAATCGTGGTGGCTGGCAAAATGCATTAAAAAAGAACATTAATCGGTAGTCGATTCCTGAACTATTGACCTGTAACTGCCTATCATCAATGGAAAAGGTGGGCTATCGTCAGTTCCTACAAAGTCTAAACGTATATCGTTATTGTGGTGTAATCACAGTTCAAGAATCCTGGTTAAATGCTTTACAAGTCGTTTGTTTAGTATCAATACAAGGGTTCAATATTTATCATCAGTATATGTGACTCGTAAAGGTGCTCCATTATTTTGTTTTGATCACTGCATAATTCGTTTCCTACCTAAAGTATAGGGAAAGCTTGGAAAGATTAAACTCTTACATCAGTCAAAGTCAAATATGGGAATTACTCAGAAAAAAATATCTAAAGTCTGAAAACCATGGGAATTATTTGTAAATAAATAATTGGAAAACACCTTTCATGTTGTCACTTTTTATCTTAAATTCTGTTCTGATATTTGTTGTCCCACTGAAACTGTTATTGTAAGTTATGATCAACTTACATCTCCACAACTAAAATTATTTCATAGGGTAAGAGAAAGAATGCTCGAGGAGAAAAACCCCATTGAAGGTCGGAAGCTATATGGTCTAACAAACCAAGAGATGAGACGTCTGAACTCAATGTTTTCTCTGAATCTTATATCTCGTAAAAACTTTTCAAGTATGTGGAAACTGTTTTAAGAACTTACAGGTGAGAGGTTCGTTAGAAGCCATAATCAGCTGAATGTTTGAGACTTAAATAAGTTTTTTGTACGTCAGTCATCGGATGTCATGCTTCCGACATCTGCAGGTTCGAAGAATAGTTGTGTTCCGATTTTCACTGAAGCGGATATTCGCAAATGTCTACAATCACTTAGGACCTGATAAAGTCTCAAAACTCCTTTTCAAAAAGTGTGCTGATGTTCTGTGTTATTCATTCACGGGCATCTTTAACTGACCCTTCTGAACTAATCTCATACCGAAGTTGTGGAGAAAGATAAATATAATCTATAGCAATCACTTCATCTCTTAAAACAGTAGAAAATATTGTTGATTCTCCCACTTCAACCTGCATTAAAAGAGCACACTGATCAGTTCGCTTACAAGGATACTGTTGTTCTACATCATAACATAGTGTTCAGCTTGGAAAAGTGTAAGAAGTATGTTTGATGCGCTTTTCTGAACTATACTTCTGCTTTTGATTCTGTCCCAAAACAACTTTTATTTAACAAGTTAATCAGCGTCAACATTGAAAGCTGCATAACCAATTGGCTGTGCTCCTACCTCTCTGGAAGCGAATAGTACACTGTTTTAGGAGAGTGTTCAACTTCTCTACTGTCTCATAGTGTGCTACATGGGACTGTTCTTTCACCTCTTTTTTTCTGCATGATCTGCCATCTTCCACAGAAAACACTTGTAAAATACGCGGTCGATTTCACTCTATTTATGCCGATTCCTACCTCTTTACATCCCATAGAAATGAATGAGTTTGTGTATCGTAATAAATGGTGACCTGTTGTTGATGGTCTCTTACTTAATCTGTTTAAATGTCAAACTATTAACTTTTACCTGTGACATGAACAGCAACTAAACACCCTGTTGGAATCCCATAATGTTTTTACTATTGGAGATTCTTTGATAAACAGTGTCGAAGGTCAGTTATCTTGATGTTACCTTTTCCTTTGGTCTCTCTTGCTCTTCTCATGTTTTATTGTTATTGAAGAAAGTTTTCTATCTGACTTACTGCATAAAGAGGCTGCATGTTTTCGGGGTTACTGAACATTTACTCTTACAAATAGTCGATTCTTGAATATTACCTATTATTTTTTACTGTTCTTTATTATTATTCCCCGTGGTTTTGAGAAAAAGATTTTGCTGTATTGCGAAGAGCTATGAAGGCAGTTAGCAGGGTGTGTGGTGTATCTTTTGAGGTCATTATTATTATGTTTTTAGATGGACATCTAAAATCTTTCAAACTCCTGGGAGGTGTTTTTATCAGATACTAACTATCCAATTCATTAACATCTTTCTCCTAGTATGTCTTCTGGTAGGACGAGACGTCAATACGCTAGAATCTATGCACGCATGTAAAAATATGAAAGCTGTACGATACTTTATCTAGCAAATATACTATATGACGAACAGATTGTTAGAACTGACCTACTCAATAACTTGTATTCCTAAACATAATTCTGATTCAAAATCATTTTAATAAACATTTCATTTAATTCCAGAAGGTTGCTTTAAATATGTATATATGTATGCACTTATTGGCTTTTTGTTTTGTAAAATAAGCTTGTTGAAATACTTTTTGCTGAGACTTCTGTATTGTACCAAAAATATAATAATAAATGGAATAAATCCATTAATGATAAATAAATAAAACCTTAGTCTGTCACAGTTCATCTGTCTTACTAGTGAATCGTCGATTATCATTGCTATTATATTATTTTGATTCCTTTGCTATTTATTTTTTTTAACTTCTCGTCGTTTTAATTTGATTTGGTAACTTAAACCAGTGGATATTTGTTTCAGGGTCTATGGATAGATGTGCAAAAGCTTTAGTATCATAATACTTTTTGTTCATGACTGCTAGTGTTTTGCTTGTGTCAGCTCATGTGATTACAACAGTCCTATATTTTTTTTAAATGAGTGTGAAGCTATCAGTTTTTATGAAATGTCAGGTGTAAGATGTTTTTGTTTGGTCAAAATGTGGGATATTTTTTGATGTGGTAAATGAGACTTTTACTGGCAGTTGTTTGATTAGTGGTGGAACAATTTCTAGAGTCCTAAGTGGTTTTCTATGAAAATTGACTTTTAATCCTTTCTCTCGTAGAGTGATTTCATGGTCGCTTGCTTATCTGTATGAGAGATTATGAACGATTCTTCAACCATTAGAACTAGACTTAATTGTTAAGATTTTCTTTTTCTTGAATCTATTCATTGTTTGTTTGTCGGCATTTCGACATATTTGAATAATAACATTCTCTCTCTATAAAAAGGTTAACAATGGTGATTATACAAGCAAACAAAAGGAGTAGCAATGAGATCCCTCATGTCTTCGATTGTACCCAATCAAATATTTTCGCCAATGACATTAAACGACAAATTTGTCCCAGATATCTGGATGATAATTTTATCGTTGTGAAAACACCTTTCCTACGAATGTTTTTCTAAACTAATCAATACACTATCATCAAACACTAAATCTACCTACCTGCATGATATTAAACACGGTCGCATATCATTTTTAGTTAAAAGAAATCTAAGTGGAGCTCTTAATCTAATTATCTTCCGAAAACTAACGCACTTGAATCCTTCTATTGACTTCAATTCAGCACATTCATTATGTGCGTACATCTCTCTGGGCAATTTAATAATTTTCCTATAAAGATTATTAAAATTGCAGTAAAACAAATCGAGTTGTTGCTAAGTAATAGTTCGAATGAAATACAATGGATGATTACTGTAGTTTTACCATGCCGCCATAGTACCACAGAACTCCAAGGATTCTTATAACAACACAGAATTAAAGCATATTACAAAACAACTAACTCCCTTCGAAATATTATCGTTTATGTCGATACAGAATTATGTTTACGTATTAGATTGTGTCGATTGTAATGCCTTTCATATTGGAGAGTCATCTCGTGAAATCTTGATTCGAGCCAAAACACAGCTTGTTTTCCGCACAAAAATTAGTTTCCATGTTTTAAATTCATAATAGCCCGTCAGTATTGCTTTTCATTCATTTTTCTATCTTTTCATATTTTCTGTCTATTACATGTATAATCGGAATTCGCCAAAATTATTTAATTTTTAGGCATTAAACAAAATATTACAAAAACTCAGTTTTGTAAACTTAATGTTCACTGTTTCATTTTGCTTGTATCATATCTGCTAGAGATTTCTGTATTCGGAATACGTGTCTTTGCAACTGTACATTAAAGATTTTTTATCTCAGTTAAATTATTCAAAATTTAGTTCATGTACGAATCCGGCTTTCATTTACAGCTGATTGATCACTGGGTGGTGATCATGGTCATGTGTGTCAGGTCCTATCGACCAAGAATCCGGCTTCATTTATTCAATAATTTAGTGATTACTTTAGGCCACCTTTAATTCTTTATTTGCAAAGCTGTTTGAAAGCATGTTAATCTCTTTTCTAGAAACTTGTTTTGGGCTAATTATTTCTCCATATATACTTTGAAAAATCAAGTTTTTCATCAATGTTTTACTGTTTACTTGTATGGAGCTATTCGTTGTTGAAAAAATCGCACACTATTTCTCGAGTTATTAATTTGAAATTCTTGCCTTACTGATCGCTATTATACGTTTGCGTAGATTTTGACTAGATATAGTGGTTTAATAATTTCAGCTCAACATTCTCAGGTTTCCAAATCTCCCCTTTCATCACTGACATGTCCACCAGATCATTTTACACTAAATCTCCTTTAGAGTTTTTAAAAAAACAGCTAATTATGAATGTTCATAGAATAATCATTTATCTTCATCGTTACACTGATTGTAGGCTTATATGTCTTTACGATAAATTAACATCTATTAGGATTATTACTAAAACGTTTCTATGCTAGTCAAATGCACTCTCTCACAGTTCCTATCGTTTGTTCCCTTTTATATTATACTGTAAAATAATTGGAATATCTGTTTGCTAGAATATATTTTAAAAGGATATGTATCAGTTGCATGTACTAAACTTTTGTTTATTTGTAATATCTACGGAAAAAGTGTATTTGTCAGTCCTATTTTTTTCACTTTAGGTAAATTGAATATTATTATCACTCGCATTCAAGTTTATCTAATTTTCACATTATGGCTAAGTGGTATTTTATAATTCCATAAATGTCAACTGAATTGTTATCATTCTGTACTGTTTTTCTATATTATTTGAATTATCAGGGACGTTGTTGTTTAATAACATTACTTTTTCTGATGAGATTCTGTGGAAACTAATCCACTCTTATGATCGTCCACTACTTTTTGTACATATATTTATTAAATTGTGTATGCATGCATTCAGTATCATATACTGTATATGATATTCCATTCTGTGTGTGAGTTTCCTGCTAATTTCTCTCAGTTTAAGGTAGCTAGATATATGTTTGTGTGAATATGTTAATGCTAACAGTGAAACCCCATTCTTTTTGTTACAATATATACCAAATCACTTATTTCTGCGGTTTATTCTTTCTACTTTGTCCACAAAAAATCCCATTTTTTAGAAGAATAGTAAAATGAAGGAGTCCCCTTGGGAAAATTCTCTTTTTCTTCCTCATATATATATATATATATTATTTGCGATAACTTCTTTTGATATTTTCCACTTATACTTAATGAGATAAAATAAAGAAGTTAGTAAATAAATTTTAAGAAGAAATTAAATTCCTAGCATGTGTCACATTACATACTACCCTGTGTTTAACACAAGATTTTATTGCTTAGACATGAATGCGTTTCATGTGATTTCCGTTTCATTTTGTTGCTACTTGTTTTTGAATTTATTCAGTTTGATACACCTATCTATAATACAAAATGTTGAGGCAAAGAAACGTTGATCAATTTACATATCACAAAACTGACTTCAAAAGAATACACTGAAGTTATACACGTTTTTAATTCATTGGAAATAAATAGGAAAAAGATTTATTGATAAGAAGAAAGGTCTTTCCAATAAGAGAAAAAGGAAATCGTTTATAGATATCGTAATTTAGATTGTCTTCGATTGATGCCAACTCTATTTAGGGTCATCTTTTGATACCAGCTTACTAGATATCAAAAATTTGTAAAAGTACGTGAGAAATACAGTGTTTAGATCATAATGTGTTTATTATCTTCATCATGGAACTTCAAGTGTGTTGAATTTGTCACTAATTCTGACTTCTCTTTTACTTTAGCGAACCATTCATTATCTTTTCTGGTGGTGGCCGTTTTCCTGGAGCTCAAACTGTCATTCATTCATCAGTAGCTACTACTAATGTCTCCTCGACGTCGTTACCTAATTCGGATTCATCTGAAAATGACCAAATTTATCATCATCATCATCATGTATGATTTCTAGTAATCATATGTTGACTATCAAAAGAGGCAAAAAGTTGGTTGTTTTACAATTGGATCATAAACTTGTTCAATTTACAACTCTTTGTATGTCTCCTTACACAAGTGGTACGTAATAGATTTCTCACTTTTCTTTTCTTTCTATTGGTATTGATTGATTGAGTTCACTGTCTATTTTTATTGGGTCCAAATTAAATTATTAAATAGGTATTCTTTATGTGAGAACTTTTATTTACATGTCTCTTCAGAATGACTGCCTGTGTACAGTTACTTGTTATTGAGCTGAATAATTTTGATTTTGATGCTAGCCAGTATTGGGGATGGTTGTAAGAAAGTTAGGGTCGACCAATCCAAAACACGGCACCAGTGCTTGAAGTCACTAACTTCTGGTCTGAGCCATGTTGGTAGATGCAGACTACTTGGTTGGGGTCCGCGTGACTATCGTTACCAATGGTTGGAGACTGTGGGTGACATGGCTCAGAATCTATCACAATGGCGTAGGTGTATATACTCTTTGTCTTCCCTTAAACTATGAGATTCAAGTCGCTTCATATCTTTCATTCTACGAACTAATTCTTTCTTCCTGTACTATGTTCTTATATGCAATCTTTCTATTATATATAACCACCACTGAATCAACTACTTCTATGAATTTGGTGTTCATCTTGTTGTGCTAATGAGGTATGGCGACTTGGACCGATGCATATATGTGTCTTGTCCGACGTTGTAGCTGACTGACTGATACCTGATATTCCAAGTTGTAATCGAGTTACAGATCTATTGGCTTTGAGTACAATTGTTTCATAAACTGCCGCATAGTTTACTAATATAATATCGTCACTCAAGCAAACCAGTATATGGTGACATTTCCATTTGTTATGTTAAACAAAATTATTTTATTAAAACTGCTTAATGATACTGTTTTATTTGTGCCTAGTGAAAACAAAGATGAGCTACAAAATTACGTTTGTTTATAATCTAACCTTACTGCTTGATCCTTATTTATTCCATATCTAAAGATACGTTTCCTTAAGTAACATCGGAATGAAAAGATATCACACCTTATATGCGGCGGGCTATTTTTGAAACAAAGTATCTATTCTTGAGATGCATTTTCTGTTTTGCTTTTTGTACATATATTTTTCTGAAGGCTTTTATGGATAAAAATGTTCCAACAATCATTCTATCAGAATGTTAAGAACACTAACTAGAAGTGTCACGTTATTTGTTCACATATGTGATTTGCATTCGTTCTGCTTATTCTATTCTTACTTAGACAAGAAATAAAGTAATTTAACAATGCATAGTGTTTGTCCCTCACTGGTTTGAAGTCATGTTTGGTTCCTCTAGAAAGTACAACCGTATTGATAAAATCCTTGTAAACGCGCACTTACGAGATACAAGGAAACGACTTATACACGACCACAAGTTATTCACAATTTAATTACTGCTATAATTAATGATATGTGGCAACTTAAATACAGTAGAAAAAATAGGAAAAAATTTGACAATCAACTCAGGGAATTTATACTGTGCTAGGAAAAACTTAATTATAAATTCAGCTTAAATTATTTCGTGCAGACATGAACACAGTAAATTATATTTCGTCCGAATATTATTATCTCTAATCAGTAAAATTGTACAAAATATTCAGTTTTTCCTTGTCTTTTTATTAAGCGAGGTTTAAGATCAAATTGTATTTTTAATTAATTGCTTTCTGTCTGGTTGTATACGCATGCTTAGTAAAGATCACCGGTTAATATAAGCCGTGTGTTTCATCTTATTTTTCACTCATTAGGTGGATAATACTTACATCTAGTTAGCTGTTGATACATATCTGGAGACTCAGACTTAACACTACTAACGAAACATTAAACGCTATCATAGTAATCACTATCTATTGTGAAGCTGCATTCAAAATCTTTTCTAATACGTTTACATTCTGATCGGTAATATAAATACTTATTCTTTTTTCAGAGACAATGGATCCTTATGCAGTTGCCATATTATTACAAGAAGATCTTGTTGTTATTGATCTCTTATCTACAAAGTAAGGATACTGATTGTTTTTTTCTAAGTATCTTTTAGATTTCTCTTAAAATTCCTGTGAATATACTTGAACCATTTACCTTTTTTGTTTTTAACTTTGAAGCTTCGCAACATTTGAAAACCCATATCCAATGGATTTGCATAGTTCTCCTGTCACCAGCTGTTTATATTTAGTTGATTGTCCTGGAGACTTGATACCTGCTTTCTATTCTGTTAGCAGTCGTCGAAATCGTACTCAAAGTGGCACGTGTGCTGAACCTGATGTGTTCAGCAGTCGCGAATGGCCTATTACTGGAGGAGAATGGCGATTAAGTAATCAACAAGTTCCTGAATTAATCATAACGGGGTATTTGATCAATAATATTATACTTTATTGCGTTCAGTTATTTTTCTGTTGACTTTTATATTAATTGTTCCACTATTCGGTGTACACACATATTAGCGAAGGGAAATCAGTGTAGTTACCTTGTTTGAGCTTCTACATCCATTACTATTCTGTGATGACAATTACGTTTAAATTTGAGTAACTTCTGCAGATTCAATCTTCTTTCCTCAGTTAGGATGATATAATTACCCTTAAATATTTCCTACTATGTACTGTCCCATTGAGAATTTGCATCTTGAATAAGTCAGCACTCAGTTTCTGGTAATTTTCAGATATTACTGTTTAGGAGTGGTTCGATTGTAAAAGTAATTGATTGTTCGGCACCATCACTCAAGTCAAATACTAAGAGAGTTCACCAATATCAAATCTCTAATCTTATGAAAAGTAGAAGTATGTGAGAAAGGTTAGTTCGTTTCATGATAATTAAAATAAGTATATCATTAAGCCATCTATCCATTATGGATATCGTCCTCTTTCAATAATGTCGTGAAGCTTTTCATTTATCCTGCATGTGACAAAAATTATTCAGTTTTATTCGATGGAAAGTGTATTTATTTTTTAGATCTAACTGAGGAAAGAAGGTGATGCCCCCCCCCGAATGCCCTGGTACGGCCGAGCGTGGGGAGAGTCCGCTCTCCCTCTCGAAATACTCACACGGCCGCGCGTATACAGCCTCTGCCCGTCGGTCTACTCCGGGTGACCGTGAGTTTGACCATAAACGAAGGATGTTACGTAAGGAAATTGGGCAAAGCTTGCGTAAGGACCGAGAAGCCTGGTGGTCGAAGCGTGCTAATGAGCTGGAAGCAGCAGCTGCATCTGGTAACTACCGGAAGCTCTTCCAGCTCATCCGAGCCACTGGCAGCAAGAAGTCTGGTGTGAGTGAAACAATCTGCGAGGATGATGGGATGCCAATCACTAACATCCATCGACGTCTTGGACGATGGGCAGAATTTTTCGAAGGGCAGTTCAACTGGCCTGCTGCTCCGGCAACATCGGTCAGACTGTCCTGCCCTCCATGGCCGGTGACGACTGATCCACCAAACGAGGAGGAAGTCCGCAAGGAACTCCAACTCTTGAAGCGTTACAAATCACCTGGCCCAGATGACTTACCTCCGGCTCTTTTTAAAGATGGTGGTGACTTTTTGACTAAGGAATTGACGACGTTGTTTACAAAGGTTTGGGAACTAGAGAGTGTACCAACGTCATGGAATGAGTCGATAGTTGTCCCTATCTTTAAAAAGGGTTCACGTCGTTCCTGTAACAACTATCGGGGGATAAGTCTACTTCCGATTGCGTCCAAGCTATTGGCTTCCGTCATACTTCGTAGGTTGTTCAAAACCCGAGAAAGATTGACTCGCGAGGAGCAGGCTGGGTTTCGTTCTGGTCGAGGATGTATTGATCATATCTTCACCCTCCGCCAAATGTTAGAACACCGCCATACTTATCAAAGGCCAACAATCGTAGTGTTTCTTGACATCAGGGCTGCCTTCGATTCGTTGGACAGGACTGTTCTCTGGGATTGTCTATTGAAGAAGGGTGTGCCTGAGAAGTTTATTAACATCCTAAAAGCCCTATATAAACACCTCAGGCAGAGTGAGGGCATACAACCACCTCTCTCCATTGTTCCATTCGAGCAGTGGGGTTAGGCAGGGTTGCCCAATCTCACCATTCCTCTTCAACTTTGCCATCGATGACATTCTGGAAACAGCTCTGATGAATGTAAGTAATGGTGGTGTGGATCTGTTGCCTGGAGAAAGACTTCTCGACCTTGAGTATGCGGACGATATTGTCTTACTGTGCGATAATGCCCAAGGCATGCAATCCGCACTTAATCAGTTGGCAATCAGTGTCCGTAGGTATGGTATGTGCTTTGCACCTTCGAAGTGCAAAGTACTTCTACAAAACCGGCATTCATCCTGGGTAGTGAAGTTTGTGTATCTGGGTAGCTGCATAAGTGCTGGTGGGGGTGTGAGTGATGAGATCAATGCACGAATAGTGAAAGCCAGAGCGGCTTATGCCAATCTGGGCCACCTTTGGCGCCTTCGTGATGTTAGTCTGGCTGTAAAAGGTCGGATCTACAACGCGTCGGTGAGAGCAGTTTTGCTCTATGCTTGTGAAACCTGGTCTCTCCGAGTTGAGGACGTTAGACGACTCTCTGTGTTCGATCATCGCTGTCTCCGAAGGATTGCTGACATTCAGTGGCAACACCATGTCAGTAATGCAGAGGTTCGGCATCGTGTGTTCGGGCACAGAGACGACAATTCAATAGGTCTCACCATCTTGAAACACCGACTTCGGTGGCTTGGACATGTTCTCCGAATGTCGTCCCAGAGAATTCCACGTCGTGCATTATTTGCCGACTCTGGGACTGGTTGGAAGAAGCGGAGAGGTGGTCAGTGCATGACATGGTGTCGTGGTATGAAAGAAAGCTGCAAAGAGCTGGCTTGTGTTGGTCCTTCACGACTCCCTGGTTGGGGTCTGAGAGATGGTGCAACACAGTGGCTAGAGACGTTATCAGATATGGCTGAGAATAGAAGCCAGTGGCGATCCTGCTGTAACCTTCTTTTGTACCTTTCCGTTCCCTCGTTACTACCACACTACCTTACACCAATCTCTTCGTTATTATTCTTTTTTTTCTTTCTATTTCTCTTCAAATTCTCATTGTTTTGTGTGGCGCATATATATTGGCGCTCTCTTGTACCAATATTCATGTGTTCAAATAAATAAATAAATAATAAATAAGATGTAGACAATCGTTAATAGTTGATAGTAAAGGAAACCATTTAAGTTTCCTTTTGGTGTATGCCTTTACATTAATTACCGCTTATTAACAGCTCTGCTTTCAACAATCAGTTCTAACCACTCATTCATTTTTGATGGACTGAAATGAGTGGGTGATTAGTCGTGTAGGTTGAACGCTATATACGATTCCTAAGCTATTCCCATAACCCGTCGACTAGAACTACACAGCGTCTTGAACTCCAGAGAGAAGACACAAGTATGAGTGAAAACACTTTATCCCAAGGTTCATTTCAGTACAGAAGTTCTCCGGAAGCCGACCCAACAGTGGGTAATGCTGTCTTTTTTCATATTAAAAATTATATCATCAGTTGGTTTTAGTGAAGTAGTGTGTATACATTATTAGAATCTGGTATAAGTGAGCAACCTACCAACTTATTAGATAACATTGAAGTTGTGTGAATAGATTCATGAAGAAAAGCACATCGGTTATATCACTTTTATTTCTCACTGTAGAAAAAACATATTAATATTGTCAGTAAACAAATCATTTGTTCATATATATCTTTAGTGGCTAAATGTTATCGCGTAATACTAATTGTCTCAACACTTGCATCTATTTTATTATTTCGAATTGAGAGCAATGTTTTCTACGTAGAACAAACTGAAATGGATAATATTTACCCAACCATTTAAGACTAGAGGTTACTGTCCATGTAATACGGATTCTGTGTATTCATCTTTGAAAAATCCTTATTATTGGCTACAGGTGTGAATTATATTGATTGACTTCCAGTATGTTACAGCTGTATCTATGCATTTGATGATTACATTCGAATTCATATAAAAAGTTTTTCCATTAGTATCATACCACGATTTTAGATAGGTTCAGACATTGTACTTAAGTGCTTTAGTTTATTCATTAGAACTGGCATTGGATTCATTATTATTTTCTGTATAAGCTGCCTCTAACAAATTATCACATTTTCGCTATGCGCATTTTATAGACATGCTGATGGATCTGTTCGATTTTGGGATGCATCCGAAGGTTTGTTTATATTTTATTTACTTTACGTTGTTCTTCAATGTAACACTATTTCTTTGTGATCATTTCTACACTGCTTGCTTCTGTTTACTCGCTCTACCTATGACTACCATTTATCACTTTTCCACTCAAGCATTTTTTTGTCAATAAAATAGTAGTGAAAGTTTAAAATGCGCTTTCGGATTTCATTTTGTAAAACAAAATTGAATTACTGGCAGTAAGAATCATCAGTAGTTCCGAACCGACTAAAATTATTTACGTACTCGAACGCGCATTTTAATTCATGAAAAAAATTTCTTCTGTGGTCGATCATATTAATAGATATCGTCTCAAATGTAGAGTAACTGCCCTTTTAAAATCACACATTCTGTCTCACGATCGATTATGCAAACTTGTACTTGGTTGTCGAAGTAGATTTTCTGGTGTTGTATTACAGATCTAGATTAGAACTCAATGACCATCCATATTGGTCAACTTCTGCATGTTTTCAACTAAATGAGAGTGGTTTAAATATCTAGTGTTTATTTTCTTGTTTAGGATAAAGGATGAAGTCCACAGTCATCCAAAACACCTTGGTATATGAACTTCATTGTCTGAATGTAAATAACACGTCCTAATCAACCTATTTAGTTCCCATTCAATGATAAATTTCTTTTCGTAGAATAGATTTGTGTACACAATCATGAATGGTTGATTAAAAAAAATACACATTGCCTGTTTACTTTCTATTGCGGTTTTGTTGGAATTTATATAGAGGTATGGCTCTTCAAGGTTTTGACTGTTGTGATTTTAGCTCAACACACATTCATGGAATTTTGTTGAAATAACAGTGTTTTATTCAACTCAGCTTTTATTGCTTTGATACTCACTTGACAATATGAACTAGAGTGGCCTTAATTCTCCAACGTACCTAATTAACTTTAGAGTAAATAGTGAACGTGTTTCGCTTTTTCATCATATGTTATCCACGAATTCAAGCTCACAACCTTTTAAAACAAATTTTCTATTTTGATCTTTTTTAGTTTCGTTGACGCCACTCTATAAGTTTCGTACTTCGAAGTTGTTTGCAAACCCATCAACTAGTACATCTAATCCTGTTGAAACAGGCAGTACCTCACTTTCTGATGCAAAAGATATCAATGCTCAATATTCTTCGATTTTGTTAGCGACTGAAAGCGATCCTCTTGCCATACATTTTATGCACTTCTGCTCGGATTCCCGTAAACTGTTAACTGCGAGCAGTTACCATACTTGTTTATTACACTTCAGTCGTCGAGAAATAAATCTTGAAACTGCAGTAAGTTATTTTAACCATAGTGTTTTATTTCTAGCCAAGAATCGTTTTCTAGTCATAGAAATATATCATTGTAACAAAAAATCTGACCATTCGGTTGTTGATATTATTAAGCCTGGTACAAATTCGTATCACTGCAGATTGCCACACATCATACTGACCTGCAATATGGTTGTAATGGCAGAATTCCAGTATGTTTGTCTATATTAAGTACATTTGTACTGACGTATCCAACTGTTGTGAATATAAATGTTGTTTAAAGAAAAATGAGCTATTTATTCTTGTGAAAAATGTTAGCCTGAATTGTTTACATCATTTATCTGTGTATCTAAATATATTTTGAAGCATTATTTAAGCATTTCGATTTTTAGTTTGTTTATGCGATAAATGAAGTTGTCATTTCATTTTAGAACTAAAGCAGTTTATGAATAAAGTGTTTTCTTGTTAGTCATCTTACAATATAGTATAGTATTAGTACGGATTGCAGATTTCCATTTTCCTTTTATTTAATTTTTTCTATAATATTATTTAATGGATGGTTTTTAGATGAGTGCAACTTTTGAAATTTTTATCCGAAAACATGAGTATCGACTGTTTCATTCTGGATATGGTTTAATTGTGGTTACCACTTCCTGCTAGGGCTCCAGGATTTCTTCGGGTTCTCAACTAGTGAGCTCATGATTATAACAATTACGAGGAATTTTTATGGAGATATGTTTAATTTATTTGCCGGGGGATACGATTGTAAGCCGGGGAGCAACCATTAACTGTTTTGGTATATCACTAATTGATTTAAAGCGGAAATGTGTGTCAGCTGGTGATCTAATCGTTGAGCTCACTCTACGTAACGTCAGTTTCTTGGGTTCTATCCTTGGCAGGGTCATTTTGCAAACTTACTCAATGTCCTATACCAGGACGAAACGATTGGTGACTGCAGTCAGCTTATGATGTGAATTTGGATTTTTTGTGAGGCCACATTGTGGCCTTTTACGAGCGAAATATTATTTTGCTGATATGATCGTAGTCGTCGGTGAACGTATGACATGTTACTTAATAAATTAATTATGCCTGGTACTCCTCGTGTTGGAGCATAGGCCACCCACCAGCACTCTCCATCCAACCCTGTCGTGAACAATCCTTTCCAGTTGTTATTCATATCACATCGAGATGATAGCAACCGATGGTTAGAGACCCTGAATGACATGGCTCAAAATCGTTTGCAATGGCGCAGGTGCATCCACTCTCTGTGTTCTCCCAAATTCTAATCTTCTGAATTCTTCATGTCCCTTTTTTCCTCTTTCCAAATTTATTTCACTGGATTATACTCTTTAAATAACATCTCCAAACACTAATCTTCCCGATTACTGCTTATACTCTTATTACCTCTACCACTACGGGATTTGAATCGACCACTGCATCTCTGTGCTAATGTGGTGTGGTAACTCGAACTGATGTACGTACGTACGAAGTTCTACGTTGTTACTGACTGACTGATTCATATCTGCTTCTATTTCCAAACTTAATGGGTTCTTTGGCCTTCCTCTTTACCGCTTCACTTCAGGATTCCAAGTTAGGGCTTGCCTCGTGATGTCGTTTGGTGATTTCCATAATGTATGTCCTATCTACTTCAAACCACTTTTCCTCATTTCCTTTTCAGTTAACAGTCGGTTTTTCATCTCCCACAGAAGGCTGTTGCTGATGGTATCCGGCCACCGGATGTTGAGTTTCCTGTGTAGACAACTATTTATAAATACCTGTGCCTTCTTGATGATGGTTATAATAATTTCCCACGTTTCAGCTCCACACACTAGGACTGTCTTGACTTTCGTATTGAAAATTCTGACTTTGATATTCGTTGACTGTTGTTTTGAATTTCATATATTCTTAAATTTTTAGGAATACTATCCTTGCTTTGCCGATCCTTGCCCATATATCTGCATCAGATTCTCAACATTCATCGATGATGCTTTCCGGATTTTCGCCATCAAGTGTGATTGGTTTTGTTGAAGTTCTCCTTTCCGTATTTGAGGATCTTGCTTTTTCCTTTGTGTATGTTAAGGCCTACTGACGCAGACGCTGCTGCTACACCAGTTTCCTTCATCTGCATTTGTTCGTGTGTATGGGATAGGAGTGCTAGATCACCTGCGAAGTCCAAATCGTCTAGTTGGTTCTGAGCAGTCCATTATATCCCGTGCTTCCCCTCATATGTCGTGGTCTTTATGATCCAGTCGATCACCAGGAGAAAGAGAAAGGGTGAGAGTAAGCAACCTTGCCTGAAACCGGTCTTTACTCTGGATGGGTCTGTGAGCTATCCTCCAAACATAAATGGATCCCAAAAGTTACCACTCATAATTCTTTTCGGGACTTTACATCTACTGAATTTCCCATCTGATTCAGCAACACTGTTGAAAACATTTCCTGGTACTGACAGTAGTGTGATACCTCTGTAGTTTTCAAATTTGCTCAGATCTCCTTTCTTTGATATCTTGATGAGGTGTCCTTCTTTCCAGTCCGTCGGCACTTGTTCCTCCTCCAAAACCTTCCTGACTCGAACGTGGTGCATGTTTGCAATTACTTCTGTGTCTCAATTCAGTGCTTCAGCTGATATATTGTTAGATCCTGCTGCTTTTCCACTGTTGATTTGTCTGATGTCCATCCTGATTTTTTCGGTCGTTGGTGGTGTGATATCTATAGGAAGGTCTGTGTGTGCTGATTCGGTTCATGGAACTGGTCTGTTCAAGAGCCACTCAAAGTGTTCTACACGTCATTCCTCTGCTCTTGAATCTCAGTGATTCTCTTTCCTTCTTTGTTCTTGAGCGGTCCCTCTTATTTACTATGTCTCCCTATCAGTGTCTTCGTTTTATCATATAGTTGTTTCATAATCCCTTTTGTTGCAGCTTTTTTCGCTTTCGTTGTTAGGCCTGTCTTATCTAATGCTCTTCTTCACTTGCTGGTTTGCTTCCATGTATTCAGCTTGTGTCTTGACTTTGGCTGTTCTTGTTCGGATGTTGTTATTTGCTGTCTTGTTCTTCCTTTCTTGAATCTTGTCCGGGGTTTCGATCGAGATCCATTCCTTATTGATACAAATATGATCTATCTGGTTCTGTGTAGTGTGATTCGGTGGGATCCATGTAGCTTTGTGTATGCGTCTGTGTGGGAATATTGTGCTGCCTATAACCAATTTGTTGAATGCACATAGATTTGCAAATCTCTCGCCATTTTCATTTCTCTCTTCCAGTTGTATGACATATTGCTAACAGTATAATTGATTATTTAGTTGATAGATAACATATTGCGGTCAGCTACTCCAGATTGATTATTCACAAGAAATGAAGCGTCACAGTATTTGATAACAGGTTTCGAACTACTCAACTGTATTAATACTACATAATCATTTGTGTATCAATGAGTTATGATGCATTTTGTCATGCCTACTTTTCTCTGTATTTTGGTGGTATCAAGTAATTTATTTTTGAATTCGCATTATACATCCTTTAGCGATTAAATTTTTTCTCATCATCTGCTCTGTTTTTTCTTCCTTTTAAAAGGATGCAACAAGTTAAGTGCTACCTTGCTGCTGGTATATATATATATATATATATATATATATATATATATATATAACCGTTACATACAGTTATCGTGTGTAATTCTTAGTGGTAACTCCTTTTCGTTGTCCCTATAAAACCACATGGTGAATTTCTTTTTGTTATTTCCTGTTATAACACATGAAATGAAGAATTTTCCTAGTCCTATTTATTGCTTACTTTCGTCCATCGTTCTCTCTGCCTTCGTTCATAACTGAATGATTATGTTAATTGTCAACTATGAATTTTCATCAGAAGAGAGTTTTGTGGAGATTTTAGTAATGTAATATTTGAATTCATGAATTAATAAAAGGTATACCACTATGGACAACATGGAAGCACTGGATGGCCGTTTCATCCTAGTAAGGGACTCCTCTGCAGTTCGCATCCACGATCCCGCCCGCTGGATTCAAACACAGAACCTATCGGTCTCGTGCACGAACGCTTAACCTCTAGACCACTGAGTCGACATCTAACGGTGTTAATGTTTAACTTCAACCAATCCACGAAATTGTGCCACCGTCCACCATTGTCTTCAGTGAGTTACTATCGCACAACTTACCCGGTTGATCACCACCGATCACGGCTTCTGACTAGATCTCCAGGAAATACCTATTGAATCCAGTCGAATCCTACGAGCACTGCCGATGAGTCCCATACTAGGACGAATCGGCTGTCCAGTGCTTCCAAGTTTTCCGTGATGGTCTAGCTTTAACTGATTCTTGAATTCAACTATTAAACTATAAATTTTCCTTTGTATATTATACATCATTCCGTTTCATTGCTATTTATTTAAATGCATATAAAACTAAACAACTTCATGGATACAGTTTTGTGCTGTGTATGTGTGTATTTGAGTGTAATTATATGTTTGTGTCTGTCCGTTTTTGTCATTGCTCAGTATTTTTTTGCTGTTTGTTTTTCATGGTTTGTCTGAGGAAAAAAGAAAATACTATTCTTTTCTGATAATTTTTTAAAATAGATTTTCAATTCACTTTGTTTGTTATTAATTCCCTAATGTCATTAATCTCTTTTAATTCTTTATGCGTTTCAATATATTCATTATTTATATTGTTGCATTTTCATGGGCTGATAACTTCCTAAAACAATTTTTTCCACTGTAGGTATTCATTAATTTTCTTGAATTACAATTGCCTGTATCTTGTTAGTTGAAGTCGTATAGATCGTCTGATTTACTCGAAGAAATCAATGAGATGCACTTTTATAGTTGTCACTTTTTCCTAATATCTTTGATTCCATAATCTGTAACTCTGTTGTTGTAAAATTCTTGTTTTCTCAGTATTCATTTGTAGTGTAGTAGAATGTGAAAACCATACATTAAACGCTTCATTTGTAAATCTTCCATCAATTGTCCTTTACGTCCTCCCTGAATCTTTCAAATCATATGTCCTTTCT